CACCTGCCCAGGGGTGGCACCACCCACAGTGAGCTGGGCCCTCCCACATCACTCATCAAGAAGATGCCCTTCAGACATGGCCACAGGCCAGTCCAATAGAGGCAATTCCCCGATTGAGGCTCCCTCAACCCAGGTGTGTCAAGTTGACACTAAAGCTATCCAGCACAGAGTACTTACCATTTCCCAGGCTCTAGGCTATATGAATTGTCTTCCTGAGCTGCTACTTTATCATCTGTTTCCTGAGCCTTGTTCTTCTCTTCTGCACTGAAGTTTAAAAATTTTAATGCCAGATATTTCATATATATACACATATATAAATATGATGCTTTTGCTTGTTAACCTGGTACAGTATATTAGCAGCTTTTATGAGTATGATATTTTGACGGTATTTGAGGGCTAGCAAACATTACTAAGGAAAAGGCTTTCCTTTCCCCAGCTGTCTTGGAACTCACTACATAGACCAGGCTGACCTTGAACTCACAGAGAGCCACCTTCCTCTGCCTCCCTAGTGCTGGCACTAAAGGAATGCACCACCATGCCCAGCTCTACTTTTTATTATTTGAAAATTTCATACATGAATATAATGTATTTCAACTATATTCATCCCATTCCTTATCCTCTTCCACTCCCACTGAACCCCTTCATCAAGTCCCTCTCATATTTCCGTGTGTGTGTGTGTGTGTGTGTGTGTGTATGTGTGTGTGTGTGACCAAGTTTAATGGCAGCTGCTTGCATGAGCATGAGTGAGGTTTGTTTATTGGATTATGGCTAACTTAATAGTGGTTAGTTATGCCTCTGAAGAAGATGAGTCCTCCTATCCCAGCAAATGTTAATCACTTATATTTCCTCAGGGAGAGTGGGGCTCTATGAGCTCTTTCCCTAGCCACAATGGAATGACCAACTCTATCTTGCTCAGTCTTGTGCAGTAACTATAGCTGCAGTGAGTTCATGTGTGCAGTGGCCATGCCATGTCGTAGCACTCCTCCCTCCACATCCTCTGGCTCTTATAGTCTTTCCTCCCCTCTGTGATGTTCCCTGAGTCTTGCAGGGGGTAATTTTCTTAATAATATCTTTAAAGTAGGATATGTTTTAAAATTTGATAAAATTCTATTTATAAATCTTTTAGAAGATCATGCTTTTGGTATTGGGTCTGTGTTTACTTAATTCAGGATCATAAAATATTCCTTCTATCTTTTCCTGAAGAAGTTTAAGTTTTTAGTTTCTGTATTTAGGTATACAGTCTAGTTTGAGTTAATTTTTTTTTTTTGGTATTTTTGAGACAGGGTCTCCCTGTAGCCCCAGCTGGCCTGGAACTTGCTATGTAGACCAGGCTAGCCTCAAACTCACAGAGATTTGCTTGCCTCTGCCTTCCAAATGCTGGGATTAAAGGTGTATACTACAACTGGCCTTAATTTTTTTAATTTAAATTTATTTATTTTTAAATGTATTTTTTTTTTTATGTGTATGAGTGTTTTGCCTGCATGTATGTGCATTGCCCTTGGAGGCCAGAAGAGAGCATCAGATAATCTGGAGGTGGAGTTACAAATGGTTGTTAGCTGCTATATCAGTGTCAGTGCCAGGAACAGAACCTAAGTCCTCTGAAAGAATAGAAACTGCTCTTAACTGGTGAGCCATCTCTCCAGTTCCTAAATTTAAATTTATTATTTTTTTTTGTGTGTGTGTATGTGTACCACAATGCACACATGGAAACATGGAAATTAGAGGACAACTTTGTGGAGTTGATTCTTTTTTTTTTGGTCTTTTTGAGACAGGGTCTCCCTGTAGCCCCAGCTGGCCTGAACTTGCTTTGTAGACAAGGCTGGCTTTGAACTCAAAGATCTGCCTGCCTCCTGAGTGCTGGGACTAAAGGCGTGTGCCACCATGCCCAGCTAGAGTTGATTCTTTCATCCACATTTACTTGGGTTCTAGGGATTGAAGTCAGGTCATTAAGCTTGGAGGGCAAGCACTTTTACCTGCCAAGCCATCTCTCTGACCCTTGAATTAATTTTTGTATGTGATGTATATGGATCAAAGTTTATTTTCACATATGCATAATTACTTGTTCCAGTACTATTTGTTGAAGAGA